TTCGATATCATTTCATTCGTCATATAGCGCCTGCCTACACAATTTAACATGCCTACCATTTTATAGGCTATTAATCATTTTGATTAGCAAAGGTCTAAATTAAGCTTATCTTAAAATCGCAATCATGTTAAGACGGCATGTGAAGGAAAATCTGGGAACAGAGATTCATCCGAATACATTTTGCCTTTGAATTGTCATGAAATGTTCCACTGTTAATTTGGTTCTTGAACTTCTTGAATTAGCCGTAACCAGCAAGAACTAGGCTAAAAGGTTTCAAAAAGTTTATTTATTTCAAATGGCAGGCGTTATGATAGGTGTCATTAGCCTTTTAGTTGACTTCGGGCTTCACAGAAGGAAGATGAACATCCAACTGGTAAAAAGTCGAGAGGGGGACAGAATAATGATTCACAGACGTAAAAGAGACAGACAGACACAAAGGTGAGGTGAATACTGTGGAATTATTCGAATATGAAATGTAATGGGGTCATGGTAATTTGAAGTCAGAAGTCAATTGCCGATTAATAGACTTTTTGCCGTATGAGTATACGTTGCCCAGGGTGCACCACGTGGAGGTAAGTCTATCGCACACCCCAGGTTTCAAAAAGTTGATCAGGGCAATATTTTTCCATCTATCAAAGCGCTATTCTTTTGAAAAAGGTTTTACGATCGTCAATATTTCCAATTGTCATACTTGAGGTTGACTAAAATGTGTATAAAGAATAGTAATCAGTGCATACTCATTCGCAAGATTGGCATTACTTTCATGAAAGATTTCGTTAGTCGATCTTTTGAAAGCCTGGCCACACACATTCTTCTGTTCTGAATGGTGTTGAACAAATTTTCGTATCACGCTCACCAAAGATTTTTACCTTCTTTCTTAATCAGCATATATACATCTATAGCTACACTACTTCTTACCCGTTTCAACGGAATATCACAGTTAGTATGACAGCAGGGAGTCTGAAGTCTAATGGGCATTGACGACATAGGATTATGATATTCTCCCTCCAAACAAATGGAAGTACAGTAGTCACGATGAGGTGATTTCAATCACAAAACTATGAAATATGGAAATATTTATTTATTTATATCAAATGGCAGGCATTTTGACAGTTATCATTAGCCCTTAAGTTGACTTCAGGCTCCACAGAGGCGAAGGAACATCAAAATGAAAAAAATCGAGAGGGGGGGGGGGAACAGAAGAGTGTTACAAAGATGTAAAAGAGATGGATACAAAGGTAGAAAAAAGGTGAGGTGAGTACCGTGAAAGTAGTCAAATATGACGTACAATGGGGTCATAGTAGTTTGAAGTCAGAAGTCAACTGCCGATTATTAGACTTTTTTGCCATGTTAGCATACGTTGTCCAGGCTGTACCACGTGGAGGTAAGTCTATCGCACGCCTCAATATGGAATTCTCTTTTATTCTTTAACCGATCTTTTAAAACCCGTACTTTTGATCAACCATTTTTTATAAATGCGCACTGTTAACTATCACCGCCTTGTCAAAATCGTGGTCTGGCAATCGAACTATGAATCAGTCATGACACACATATACAATTTCGGTCCCTTTGCGCACACATAAACAATGCAACGCATCTGATTTATGTGTGAGATGGGTGCGTAGAAAAAATGGTAGATGAACTTCCGTACTAAATCAGTCCAATGTACTAATAGAGAACGTTTCAGGCCGATAGGGGGGGGGGGAATAATTTGGCCAAAAGTATTATTTGATAGTGCTGACTTAATTAAGAAATTAAGCTAGCGGTGTTCATTATTTGCTCCATATAATGAATGACAGTAGTATCAAGAGTGACAGGTCTTGGTTAACTGAAAAGATCAATGTTTCCAGAAAGTATCATGTCCATGAAAAATAAACATTACTGACCTGGATATGGAGTCCTGGAACTTGAATTTTAGAACGGATATTATGAAATCTGAAATTGTAAAGAGAAAATATCAAGTATTAACTAATTTCATCGCCACTATCGAAACAATTGGCAACTTTCGAGTTGAGATAATGCTAAAGTTGTACCCTTCCCAGTAATGACACATCCGTCTAATCGGATCAAAATATCCCTTTTCAAATCTATTGAACAAAAGATGAAGGAAAGTTGAGATGGTGATTGACATCTTAGGCGAAAATACTGAAAGATATGAGGAGAGATATGGACGAAGTAGGGCTGGTGGTTGAAAGTCCAAACTGCTCACGTTACTCTGATGATGGAAATCAAATTAAATTCCTTTTATCGATCGAGTGTTTAAATAAACCTTTTTTAGGTTAGGGCTTTTAGTTCCTCTTTGTCATAGAAAATAATATAATGAAATTATTTTAAATTATTGACCTGACAGACTTTGGTCAGAAAAGTTAAAGGAATTCGAAACTATTTACGATTTTTAATCAAATGTAGTCTTTTGTAAATTGACCATTTCTGAAAGTAACATAATTAAATATTGTTCAAAAATTTTAACTAGTAAATTGTCCTTTTAAATCTGTTTTTTTCGAGAAATTTACGATCCAATTAATTGTTTTATTAACTGATCATTATTTGAACTTTTAAAACATGACTTCAGTTCTAAGCTTCTTATGACATATAAACAAAGTGTGAAGGAACTAACATAAGATACCCCAATAGATTTGTCAATTTTTTTTAAATTTATTTGGTACAATTCGGTCAAGATTTTGTACTTTTGACTTTAATTCTCGACTGAGCCAGTGGCTGACTGATTCTTTTTTCGAACGAAAAAGTGTGAAAAGTGAACTTACGTGCGATTTCAGCTTTATTTCAAATCTCGAATATACTTGTTTTAATTTGGAATGAATAGGAAGATAGCCCTCACTTTAGATTAAATCAAGAATTGAAATCCACCTGAAATATGGAAAAGAATAATTAATGTCCAATTTAGGGATTGCTTCGTGGAGCATTGGTAAGACGATCCAACATTGGAAATTATTTTCGAACAGTGGACGCATATAGCCCCATCAACATGACGACATATCCAAGAATTGGCTTGCCTTAGTTTTCATGAAAAATTGTTCCAGCCTACATTTCACTCAATTCAAGTTGGTAAGAGATATGACGAAGAAATTAACCAAAGATACCCCTAGGAATAGGTGGCTATTGGGGGGTAGTAGCCCAGATCTATCTTTAATACTCGATTAATTAATTCAGGTAAGATGTTTTTATCTTCTCTGTGACGCGCAAAAATGAGAGAAATAAAGATAATGGTTGTGGTGCTGTCTTGATTAGCGAGTGGACAAGTGAAGAGTGGCAGACATGGCGATAAATAACTAGAATCGCAAAGGTAGTTGGCAAGGGCGTGTTCAAGAGGACACGCGACTGCTGCACTGATAAGTATCTAAGTGATGGCATCAAGGCATTCACATGACAGCCCACAGACTGCACCATTCAAATTTTTGTTGGCCATCAAATGCTCAAGGTAAGAGGGTTGTGTGAAGAGTCAATGTGCACCGGTTATTGGTCGTCTAGAAACGGCCTTATAAATTACTGCCTCGAATTCCGATAAATGTCAGTTCTCGGGGTATTACACTTGAAATGACTTCACTTGAAAGGCAATTAACAGAGAAATCTATATATATTCTTTATTTTAAAAATAAACGAGAATATGGAAAAATGAGTTATAGCTTCCAGACTTTTAGTTAACATCGTTCTAAGACCATTCCTTCGCACTCCACTGTACAGAGGCAGGAACTTACCTTTGGAGTAAATTGATTGTCACCAAGACTATTAAATAATTTTCAAAGTTGAAAATAGCATTCTTTTCATCTTTTGCAAACTTCTTCCCCTACTTTATCCCATATGGATTTAGTGATGGTAATAAGTATAACCCTATTTGAACCAACCAATGGCCTTTGTGAACACTCGAGTACTATTAATCCCATTTCAGTAAGGTATGTAAAACTTTTGAAAGTTAAAAATATTTTTAATTTTTAAAGGAAATTCTCCTTGAATGATTTTGAAGCGAAGTAAAATCAAATCATACAAGTCCAAACTGTGCCAGATTTCTCTTATTTCTGTTATAAATGCACTTTTGTAAATAAAACTCACATTTCCCGCTCATTTGGTTTCGAATGAATGCAAACAAAGTAAAATTAATCTATTTTAATACTTCCCAAAGGATTGTCAAAGTAACCTTTGTTAGGAAAAAAGGCAGTGAAGAAGGTAAGAATAAAAATTGTTATCACATAATGCCAGAACGAAAGGTGGATCGAGGAAGTGAAGATGACAAATAGCGGCTGGCTAACTATCTTGACCACTCCGAACTTATTGTTTGTTCCCTCTGTTTCCATTTCGATTCGAATGGTCTCAAGTGCACCCCTGTTGGTAGAAACGAAATCAGTGAATTGGAATTGGAAGAATAAAAAATATATCGTTCTAAAATTACTGCAATTTAATTACAATTTCAAACATCAATGACCAAAATCTGTTAGAAGGGAAATTAGGTGATGATAACTCAAGTTAGTCATAAAAGACGGTCTTAAGGACTGAAACGGTTGATAAAGATCCTCATTAAGTGAACTTCTATTTCGTGCCAATTGGTTGGGACGGAGGAGAACAGAGAAAATTTGATCAGCCATCCGAGTCATTCATAATCATCTGTATCAGCTTTCGCCTGGCCAAGTTCATTCTCTCTCTCTCCCTCTTCAAGACTGGTAAAAATACTCGATCATTGAACCATACTGATTATATATGATGACTTCGAACACGATCATGACTTCACTGTTTGCATTTATTCTTCTGTGTTGCTCTCATCTCCATGGAACATACACAGCGAGTGATGGAGACACACTTTCTTACAATCTCTAATTCTGACCGGGTATTAACTATGTTAATGGAGTTGCTTTTTTCGCATTTGCACAAACACGATCGCACTTGGCCGGCGCACACGGGTGCACCAGGCGTACCAATGCGAGCGGGTATTTAAACGATCTCTGTCAGATTCAGGTTTTATCTAACTGAGCTAAAAAAATACATCTAAGATGATAGCCAAAGTCCATCATCTCCTCATCATTGCCTTCTTTGCTTTCTCCACATCAGAAACCCAGCCAGAATTAGGGCGAAAGAATCGAGTGCCCTGGAGCAGTCAGCATCTTCATCAAGTTGGAGACGCTCTTCTAGAGAAGGAAGAAATCGTCTCAAGTTTCCTGGAAGGTGTTGAACTCACCGCTTCCATCCCTCCTGGAGCAACTACTAAAAGGTCAGTTGGATTCCATGGCTTTCTTTCTCTCTCTCTACCTTCATTGTTATTTTCATACGTAAATAACTTCATTTTGCCCTTAAGTTAGAGGATTTGTAGTGCCTGTTTGACTGTGCAGGTGCTTCGTATAAATTCACAGAAAGCCATGGTTTTATTGAATTCCTGCAGATTAAAGAGGATTAAGTGTTGGTTCACCTAAGGCAGCTGTTTATATCATTAAAAAATAAAGGTTTTGTACGCACTCTGCTTAGAGCAAAGACGTTATCGATCGCGTGTTCTATTCTAACGCATATGAGAATATAGACCGACCCAGAACAATGCCTATTTTTGGGCAATTGTCTACAACGTTTAAATAAGAAGGCGCTGTTTTATCAAATCATGCATAAACATTACAATAATGCTCCTTTTCTTTTAGTCTTTATTATCTCGTCGGAAATGACGCGGATTTCGTTATCACTGTGTCGCCATGCATTGGACCGTTGAAGGGAATCCACTTTCATTCAATCAAAACCATCAGACATAGGTGGGGTGTCAGCGTATCTAACAACTGGATTCATCGGAATAAAAGCTCAAGTAGGTTTGCCCTTCCTGTCTCTGTAAGCCATGCACTGTCATTAAGTAAAGATAAGTCATGTTGTCTTTCCTCCCAGATGATTTATTGACTGCTGTGCGTCGACACTACTTATTCCATAAACCCGTAGAGCTTATGAGCTACGAGGTAGAGGGCGATCTTCGACATCAGCACCGCATCTCAACCGGTCCTAACTGGCTAAAGGGCTCGAACTCCGCCCGAGTGCATTTAACTTTATCAGTAAAATCTGGAGATACCTTGATAACCACCATATATGGTAACCCTGGTAGCACATTCAAAGTTCGATGGACTGCTAAAAGGAATGATCTACTTTATCAGTCCCTTCAAGGATATCCTGTTCTTCCACTTTCAACGCATTTTGATGTCTGTCGAAAGCGTTATAGCGGGTGGGTGTCATTGTCAATTATAAAATATATATATCTCGTATAATGCTCTTCTGATTCAAAGAAATCAATTTCATCACACAATTTTCACTCGATAGAATTGACCTCCTGAACATTGAATGGACCAGAGTTCCCAATGAGGATTCTTCGATACAATACTGTGTGTCCATTAATAGAGAAAGAAGTCTCCCACATCGGTGCTCGCTTCAACACTTGGAGAAAAATGTTACGGCGGCAATCAACGCTAAGTTAATTCACAAATGCACTCGAGACAATCGTTTACAGGTAGGTACTTTGGTTAAGCAAAGTCCCATTAATTGAAACACCCTAGAGCTGACCTTGATCAACTAGGCCGTTTATTACTGGCTGCCTGTCTGCCTGCCTGCCTGGCGATAGTTTATTCACCGTTTGTACTGAAGTACCACAAATTGATAAATAGGCACAATGATCGTCCATTTACAGTACGGCAAGAAAATGTCTTCCTTGGGTTAACATCAACTCATTAACATAAACGTGGTGAAAGTGGAAGATTTATTGAAATGGTGTACCTGTTAACTGATTAAAGTACTCCAATTTGCTATAATTAACTTGGTTTGTGTGTGTGTGTGCGTGAGACAATAGGGGTAATAATGCCGTCATTTATCTACTTATGTAACTACATGGCGCTAATTATTGATTAATAATATTTGCTATCATTTGCGTATCCAATATCCCAGGTCTTTTTGGCTCTTTCTTTTCTCTTCCTTTTGTGTGGTGAAGCTACTGTTACATAGTGACCTATCGGATGGACAACGTCAACTCTTTCTTAGCGTCTATGCCATCAACGAAACCTCCAATGTGAGCAGCGCCTACACACCTCGTGTCTTTTCAAGCATTCCGCTCTGTGGAGAAAGACCAGCCACAGAAATCATCTTTGCATTACGTCCAACTACATACTTTGTCCACTGGTCAATGGATATCATCTTCAATTGGCCTCGGAACTCCAAAGACATCGCCATGTTTCTCGTTCCATGCCGACGAAGTAGAAATAAGGAATTTCTTTTCAACCTCCGTGTATTTAAGCAGTAAGTGTGATTTTGAGCTTAACTTATGCAGCATCTAGTCTTGAAAGAGTCCATTAATTAACTCAGTGTATTTTATTTTCAACTTTATTGAGAAAGACGTTTGAAGAGCACGAACAAGAGGTACCCATTGAAGTAATACGGATTCGAAATGCTCCTATTTTGGATTTGTCACCACTTTCAAGAATATTTGATCAAATTGGTGGGAAAATAAGACTTCAACTCTCGCCTCTAATGAATGGATACGAGGACCTCTTTATAAAAGGTGACAAGGCCGCTAGAATTTTCTTCCTGAACCGGACTGAACGTAGTCCCCTTCCAATTAGACCAAGACATTCGGGTATGCCTTTTTGTGCATTGAAATTACCCTTAAAAAATTGTCTCTACCCTGTTGTCTGACAATAATTATTCCTAATAGGTGAAACGAAGTTGGCGAGAAGTGATAGAAGCATTCAAGAAGTGGATAATGACAACTATCCAGTGGAATTTCAACCAATCTGCCAACTTCACCAAATTCGCATGAAAATGGCTGTTAGTCCTGTACCACAAGTTTATCGCATTACTACAATACCAATTTCTGCCATAAAAAATATTCCCTACTCGGAAATTGAAAAATGTGTAAGGCAAAAAATTCTCACCCTTTTTTTCACATCATAGTAAATTAAGTGGAATTGAAGTTTTTGGATGTGATTTTGTTTCAAATTAATTTCAGGTAAACAACTGTGAAAATTCTATCGACGAATTGAAAAAACTCTTTGGATCTCAGAGTAAGACCGATTATCAGAGAATCGTGGGCAGATGGAATTCCACAACTCTAGAGGTTCAACTTCCCTTCTCCTATAGATATGACTCTCCACGACACTATTTCATACTTGTATATGCCTCGCATGTCGAAGATGTGACATCCGCCTACAAGACGCTCTTCTTTCATCGAATACTTGACGCCTGCCACCTCATCGAAGGCAGCTGTTACTCCTCCGGTCGATGCTCCTAATAGCCAACCGAAATCACGTCCAAACATACATATCAATTGCGTAGCCAAAGAACTCAGAGCCAAATCAAAAAGAACGGACGGTACCTATTTCCTTATTACGAAATTATCTTTTTTATATAAAATAATTATGGCTATTCAATCTCGAATGAACTTGCTTTATTCTCTTTGCATGAGAGTGTCATTGAAGTTGATGCCTTTATTGATGCGCGCTAGTACGAAGTTGCCTTAATCTTTGAGTTGTCGTAGAAGTTAACTCTGAATACACTCCATTCTGACATTTTAATCAGGCTATTCTTGAAGCATTCTTGTGCCATATTACAATGTGAGAAACAGTGAACGGTGTTTATCTAATCGGCTGTTTCCAATATAGATTGTAAACGTGTCAGTGATTTGGGAACTTTCCAGAGAAAAAGTTAAGTAAAGCACTTGTGCATAAGTTCAGTCACTAAACCCAGATGTTCACTTGTCTAGAGTGTGTCAAGAATTCGGTTGTCTGGGGGCTGTACTTTGGCACTCATAATGCCAAAACAAGTAAGATTACTTCTTACCATCTTCGATATGCTAAAGTAAAATTAGACCGGGATACGGATTATCCTTGTCTTTATGAAATTTATAATTTGACAATTTGCAGATAAATAATCAAAGTGAGATCTGTAGTGTCCGGAGGGTTGATAAGGAAGGACGAAATTTTGGTTAATAAACGGCGCCAAAGACGACTATCTTCAGTATAGAATTTACCAAAAATATAATATATTAACTAGGTAACTTCAATTTTAACTAAAAAAAAAGGTTTTAAGAATTGCGAAAGCGTTTTAAGTGCTCAGTTGTTTGAACCTTACTTCGAATTCATTCTTGTTGGAAGCTAACAAAGACGAGTAAAAGTATTTGGGAGGGCGGGGTGGGTGGGGGGGGGGGGTTAATGGTATATTGAGGGGCATTTTCACGGCAAAGAACTACCGCATTCATTTGTGCCTACATTCGAACTTCCACTTTGTTTAACACGTTGAATGCGATGGTCGAAACCGCCGACTGTCCGCTGGTACGATTATGTTTGGGTTGCAACAGCGTCAGCGCCTCTGGTTTTCAAATAAAATAGCTGAACACACATTTTCTATTATTTCAAGCCTTTATCAACAACGGCTGTGCTGAAAATGGCAATAATACTACCTTTTGGTGTACTTTTAAATATGCCGTATTATTTATGGAAACGCCCACCCCCCGTCGTGGGTCGCTTCGCAGCAGGTGGAAATCAGCGACGACCCTCCGATAGGTCATATCGCACTCAACTCGTCAATGACCTTGGGGGCAGCTATTGAGCCTCATGACATGGTTTCAGTTTTCTAGAGAATTTCCAGAAAACAATTTTTTTATGTAATGGTGCCACATGATCTTTGTTCTTATGAGTGCAGTCTCAACTTATAAAGGACTAGTTTCAGGTGACATAGTCACACATGGTGCACTGTAATTTTGAACAAAAAAATCAGGGTTTAAAAAAAAATAAGCCCCACGCGCAATTAAAAGTGGAGGTTTGCAGATAAGACCTGAGTCTTTGGTGAGTAGGACTGGCAATAAATGAAACAATTATTGTAGAGGTGCTCACATTCAATTGAAGCCTTTCAAGACCGGCTTTGAGCACAAGAATAACAAACCTTAAGCACATCAGTCAAAGATCAAAAGATAGAATACAAGCTCGTAGGTTTGTAAGTGTTTGTGTGTGTGCGTGTTATTTCGGTCTTCAACGCATTTACTGTTTAGTATATTGACGTGTAATCCATCAATAAGTGGAATTAAATACACCATGTTACTTTTTCACTGCTTCATACTCGTGTAATTTAGTTGTATTCAGCTTAATTAATTGGAATTTTTTTCAAACTACGATTTCTACTAACGGAAAAATTAATTTAAATAAGTTTATCTGAAAAGGTGTCGTTCTTGTCTACCCAGTTAGTTAATCATTTCAGCTATAACTTCTCCACGAGTTGAGCGTGATGTATTAATCGAATTGATATTCCGGTTTGTAAGCGACAGATCTTGGAATTTTCTTTGAAGTGAAACGTAGATATTCCATATAGTTTCCTTCAGCATTATATGCTCCATTCAATGGGGGATCGTTTCAGACAGTGCATTTCTTCTCATCTTAACACACTTCTGGTTCGAATATTCCTGTGCCCGCATTTTAATCAATTAAATAATTTGTAAGTTTATTAAGTTATTGTAATTTTATGCCACTGGAGGGTGCCCATAATGTCAGGAATTCAATTCCAAGATTACTATTTGGTATTGTCTTCACTTTATATGGCTTTGCATAACCTAAAATCTTTTCTCATCACCTAATTTATACGATAAAGGTACCTGTTATAAGTTAATATAGCCACATAATCAATCTGATAAATTGAACAACGTCTTCTGAATACCAATCCCTCTCCAAGATTATATTCATTTTGATTTCCATCTAGTTAGGAACTATTCTAGGGATGTGTGGGACACGTTATCGCTGTGTGCGTCATCGTATGCCTGCACGTCTACTCGCCAGGATTGGGAGGTGCGGCGTACAACTCTGAGTGCAGCGACCGTACAAACAGTGACCAATCATCAACCTCTGGCGACCTGGGAGGTGCGACCGTACAAACAGTGACCAATCATCAACCTCTGTTTAACCTAATCCCCCATTCTGATCATGAGTAGCTCGCTGCGTGTAACACTTGATCCGCAATATACGTTCTGAATGAACGTGCTCCGTGCTACACGTCTGTTTCCTTTAGCGTGCTCCGTGCTACACGTCTGTTTCCTTTTTAGCTTGCAACACGTCTGTTTCCTTTATAGCTGGGCTATAGCTTAGCTGAATTATACGTCTGTTTTCTTTATAGCTGGGCTATAGCTTAGCTAGTTCGGGAGTCTAGCTAGATGTAGGAGAATCTGCCAGAGATTTCTCGGGAGTCTAGCTAGATGTTGGAGAATCTGCCATAGAGATTTAGTCGGTCAGGCTTTCTTAGGGAGCAATCCGCTACAAGTCTACAAAACAATATACATAACTAGCGTAGCAATCCGCTACAGATGTGAGAAACCGTGTCATAGATTGTAGTGTGTTCACAATTGCAAACATTTTCGACGGGAGTTGTAACTCAATGACTCTTCAGAATTATCAACATTTGAAATATAATAATTTGAATGCAACTATTTGAAGCCTCAATCAATCTGCTTCGGATCACAATGTTTAGACGTGGATAATTAAAAATGGTGTAAAAGGGAGAACAATTTCACAAGAACTCGCCGTGTTACAAGGCTTGTGAAGAGGAAGTTGACGAGGGTAAAATAGCATAGCAACTTAGGTCTTCAAACAATATTCTACAGTTCATTTGAATAACGGAACTTTGCATCAGCGTTTGGTGAACGGTGGGAAATTATTGTGCTATTTCAGATGAAGTTATTGCTAATTAAATATCAATGATCAAATTGAAAGAACGATTAGTCGAAGCAAAAAAATTCAAAGAGTGCAAAGTTATTGAAATTTAGGAAAAATGTGAAAAATGATAATACAAGAATTGATTGAAGATGAGAGTTGGAAATGATTGACGGGTTTATTAAAGTTGAATTGGTAAGGCTTGAGTGAATTCAACAATGATAACCTCCACGACGACCATTATTTTCTCTTCGATAGTTGAACTCCCAACCAAAATAATCAAATGGAATTCTACTTTGAGAACAAAAAATGCGATTGAGATATTTTATGACCAGGTGTACAATTTGAAGTGAAATAAGTTGAAAAGAACTCAGTTTCTTCATCTTGACTCAAACATTATTTCCCCCGTTAAAAGTTACTTGTTTGATTTTCATAGCTAACGATACGAGGGTTCGCAACTTAGAATTTCTTTCAATAATTGTGATTGGTTAATTAAAAATTAGAAACGTTTTTTCATTTATTTCTGCGCCAACTATCATTTGAAAGGAAATTTGGTGAAAGTTGATCTATAAAAAAATCGAATGTCAACCACAACTAGTAGGTGTTCATGATAAAGAAATTGTGCTTACCATTTCTGGACGATATAAACTCCTTACAAAAAAAAATAGTAAGATGAGAAGGCTGGTGGACAACTTTATGCAGAAGTTGAGTCCCATTAAATTGTCTCTCCTCCATATCCTCCCTAAAGCCACTACAAGATTTAGACCTTGCCTTTGGTTACCTTACAACTAAAACCCCGATAATAACTTTTACTGATGTTGCAACAAAGTCAGGTTTTGTTTCTAACAGTGGTATTATTAGAACGGAAGTTCAAATGGCAACTTTAAGTCAGGACTTCATCGTAGAACATAAACTATTGGAGTAATTAACTAACCTTGCCTATGCCTGCGCTGTAAAGTTTTTTCATTTATCAAATCATTTTGTCCTGTACTTGGCATAGAGCCACACACTTCAGACTGCCGGCATCGACTTCTCCTTCTCTCTCTCTCTCTCTCTCTCTCTCTTGAATTAAAATTTGAACCACCACCCTGGGTGTTCAATATTCGACTCTCCGACACATCAGATAACTCCCTATCGCGAAACGTAGGAGAGGGGGGATGTACTAGGAAATTGGAGGAATATTCGCCTGAACCCGACTGTACTTCACAGTTGACATCTGCATCAATGACGGAAAAAGCACTCAATTCAGGCTATATGAGGTCTGTTAACAATTCATTGCTCTTGAATATTGCTTATATGTTTAGAAGTCCGATAATCCACTTCAAAGACAGAAGGGAAGAGGTGCCAAGCTGGTTGATGACATTATCAACTTCACTTTAAAGCCCCATAGATAATTAGTAAGATCAAACGAGTAAATTAAATACTAATTTCAATGGCATATTCGACCACTTCCACAGTACTTATCTTACCTTTTCTCTGCCTTTGTGTCTGTCTGACTTTTTTACATCTGTGAATCGCTCTTCTGTTCCCCACCCCTCGACTCTTTTTCACTTTGATGTTCCTCCTCCCCTCTGTAAGGTCAGAAGTCTACTAAAGGGCCAGTGATAACAATCAAAACGCCTGCTATTTGAAATGAATAAATATCAAACGTATACAAAATGCCATTTACTTGAAGAGAACTAAGTAATCAATAATTTTTCCATTTAAAAACATGCTTTATTTGCGCCTTCAAATTACGAAGAAAAGAAAATAGCAAATACTAGCATCCGTAGATTGCTTGCACCTATCACTTGACTCTTAAATAAAATAAAGCAGCAATA